CACCTTAAACAACTCTTATAAGACAAGTTTATGTGTCAAAACCTGTCACTGGTGAAAAGCACTGCAGCATTTGCATAGCATTTTGTTAGAGAAAAATGTTAATATCTGCAAAATCTTCCATTCATCGTCTTTATGAATGGTCACCTGTGTCATATACTGCTCTAGTTACTGGGAACAGAGCCAGGGCTCCCCTGGCTGGGAGGTCGAAGGCTGGGGCCGTAGCTCAGCTTGTCCAGCATGCACAAGTCCCTTTCTATCTCCAGCACTGCCAACAGTGAGACAAAGGGGGCAGATGGACCACAGATCAGCAGGCATTCCAGGCAGAAGACAGTGAGTACAAAGGCCCCATGGCAGGAGCAGAGGCACATAACAGGGAAGTGCGCCATGGCAGGGGTTTGGGTTTTATCCTTAGGATTTTGGATAACTGTTAGAGGATTTTAAGCAGAGGAAGGATACCATCGAAAACACATTTTTGTAGGACGTTATTGCTTTCAGAGAAGGCTCTAGGAGACAAAGGAAATAGACTCCATTAAGCGATGATGATAACTGAATGTGGGAAGGGAGAAGAGGAAGGGCTGAAGGCGTACTTGGGAGCTTCAGTGTCAGGACTGTACTGCGGAGCAAGGTGGACATGAAGGAAAACAGAGGCTCAAGGACAGTTCTTACGCTTGATTTTTAGTTTGAGGAAATCAGGTGGCAGTCGTAGTCAGGTACACACAGGGGCAGAAGGGGACCACACCAGAGATGCTTATCGGATGGAGGAGATGCTTAATAGACAGAGAGGAGGCTGGGTGTGCTAGCTTGCAGCTTAGAAAATGATTAGGGCTTTTGGCTAGTGAGAGAAGATTTGATGGGATTCCCTGAGAAAGGAGAAGGGGACAGGACTGCAAGCGTTTCCATGAATACCAGGGGCTGATGTGCTCTGATTTCTGGCCTGAGGTTAGCTGTATAATGACTCCAGGAGCCTTAACAGGAGTGGTTTCAGCAGAGGGGAAGAGCAGGAAGCCCAGATGGTGTGGGCTGAGGAGGGACGCTGAAGAAATGGGTAAGGAAATGAGTGTCGCTGGTGAGTGAATGTTAGTCTTGGTCTGTAGCTGGTTGCTGCTGGTAGGCAGAGGAAAGCTTTCTAAAGCAGGAGTTGGTGAGGGGCAGGGCCATGTCTACAATGCTGGCAAGCAGTAGGGTGCTTGTGGCCAAAGAAGGTTCTGAGAGTGGCCGCTGAGACTTTAGAGCAGTTGGGCAAGGCTGAGATAATCTAAGCCAAGGACCATTTTTCTAATACTCGTTTTACTGTTTTTTTTTTTTTAAAGGTTATCAGTGACAGGCTAGAATTTTTAACACAGACCAAAACATATCAGTGCTTTTAACCACATTTGAGAAGCTCCAGAATGTGTTTGAGAGTGCAGGAATCAGAAAGAAGGAACACATGACAATTCAGGGAAGGTGGGGACAATCAAGCAGATCCACAAGAAGGGACACTGTTAAGATGCGAAGCATCTGCAGAGAGATGGCTCCCGGATAAACCCGCAGTGGTTCTTTCTTATCATGAGAGAGTCTAGAGGAGAGACAAGGGAGGCCCTTGGAGCATTTCAGTGCCGTCTTACCTGTGGTGTAATGTGCATTCCTTATATATGAAATTTAAAACATGTCAAATGGAGTCAAGTTCTCACTCCAGCTACTGTGTGAATGCCAGCACTCGATGAATATCAGATGAATTCAAAAGCAGCTTGGCTTCCATACCACTTAACTGTCAAATGAAATTTAGAAGCATCTTGGCTTGTCTACCTGGCTGCTTTTAAGATAATGTGGAGCTGATCCAAAAGTCAGAAGAAAGGATGGTTTGCAGGTTTCCCACACCAAGTGGGTTTTCTGTAGGAAAGTGACTGAGATTCCTTTCCTCGCCAAAGCAGTATGAGGCTTGTGTCCTAATGTAGGAGGTGCTACTAGCACTCCAGAGGTTAGATGTAAATGGAGGTGAATTGATAGTAAATCATATATGGCCAGTCAGATAAGAGCATGACTTAAAATAATTGGTCCTAGCAGGATGTTCCAGTTAGAATAAAATTTCATGTCTTGGAGTCCAATTTCAGTTAACTCATGAAGACATGAATTTAATAAATTAAAGTGAAGTCAGAATGTGGCCCTCCTAGAGGGAAATCATTGCTGTAGGCATGAAGGAGCAGGCTGGGAAGTGGGCCTCGGGACAGAGCGCTTGCCTAGCTGGCAAGGAAGAGTAGTTAGTATATGGCATTTTTAAAAGATGGTAGTGTTATCTTTGAACTTAAGATGGAGCATGAAGTCTTGACTTTCTTTTACCAGACTGATGGACTTAGGACAGAGACTACATTCAGGTTTTCTGAGGTGCCTGGGGAAATACAGGACTTTTCACGTTTATCCCCCTCCCAGTCTTCTTTGGAATAGACGTTCAGGATGCTGTGTTGCTAAGTTTGAAGAAGCCTTGTTTTCTCCTTTATGCAGTTCCGTATCTATTAAATATTTTGCAGCATTTTTTACTTTTCTATTTTTTAACAAAAGTTTAAAAAAAACCCTCAGGTTGCCAGCACAAGACGCATTCCAGCTTGGACGGGAGAGGAGCTCACGAGGTCCCACCCTAAGCTGAGGAACTAAGACGATAGTGGTTGCTGGGAGAAGGAGAGTCAGTTTCTTTAAGACTGTGGCGCCTGGTAGGGCAACCAATGCACACGTACTAATTCAACGATGTATATACAGGCGGCATTAATGGGACTTAGCTAGTTACTTTAAGAAAAAATGTGGGGGGACAAGAAGTTAGGAGGGTGATGAAGGGTGGGTGGAGTTCAGAAGGAGTTGGAGAGGAGAGCCAGGGCATAGATATGATCAGAATACCTTGTATACATGTATAAATTTCTCAAATAATAAGTAAGTAATACTATATTAAAAAAGGAAAGGAAACCTGCTTTCAGTCCATGCTTTTGTACATTTTGATTTTGAACTGTGTATATATAAAACTTAATTTAAATGTATTAATAGTTTCAAGTTTTAAAAAAACCTCAGAACTTTGTGAATCAGTAGAGCCAAGTTACACACTCATCTTTTAAATGAATTCGCAGAGAGATTATACAACTTTAGAAAGATGAATTATATATGATTTTATAATATCTCTAATTTGAATTTTATGTTGCATTTTAAAACAAGTTGTATGTTTTCTAAGCCTGAAATGCATATAGCTAAGCAATACATATTTGTTCAAGTTGATGAGTTTCAAGGAAACCAGTGGTTTGGTTTATTCTAGGCACATTTCATTAGGACAAGAAATTGAGGGTCATTAAAAAAAAACAACAAGACAAAATAGATGTCTGTTGTGTGTTTGCTTTATAGGATAGTCTGTGCGTAAAGAACATGTATGAGAAGTTTAATGACATTGTTCTGAGAAGCAAGCAGAACTAAGTGACTCAGGGTATCTTCTTTTTACTTTATTCATTTGGGTAAAAAATGTATTTGACATTGCTTATTTTTCAGACAGGATGATTGGAATAAGAACACCTTAGAAAGTTATTTTCAGTGGCCTTACATGTGAACACATCAGGGCTCCTATGTTCCTCTCATTGGCAGTTTCAAAATCAGTCACTGTTGTCAGGCGAAGGCACTGATACCATATTTAGTGAGGAATTCTTTGTTTACATGTAAATGGTTTTGATTGAAGGTTGCATTTGTCAGTGGCTTCCAGGCAGACTCATACAGCATCAGTACATAAATGTTTAATGTCCTGTCTTGAGCATTTTCTTATTCATAAACAAATGTGTCTTCTAGTTCACAGGAGAAAGCAGTGCCTGTTTTATTTGAATTTATTGAATAAGAAAAGCTCTGTTAAAACTCTTAAGATCTTCTTAATGAAATATATCCCTCCTATAGCTTTTAAATCTTACCAAGAAAAGTCAGCCACTATAATATTTATTATTAGCAACTTTTAGACTTCCTCAAGAGAAGTTTCTTTCTAATGCAGATGTGAAATGCTAAAAGTGGCTTTTCAGATCTTTCCTTTGCTCACTTCCCAGGCTTTGGACTGACTTGTGTAAGCCTGTCCTGCCCTCCTCATATATCCTGAGCAATGACAGTTGGCATTTTTCCCTCTTTCTAGGGTGAGGGCTGTGCCTGCACAGTGCCGTGAGTCCCCGCTGGACTGACTTAGGAAAACCATTCTCAGGAGCCCAGCAAGCAAGTGGGAGACAAGAGTTCTTTGTTTCTTTAAAGCTTTGCTTCCTCCAGAAATAGAGAACAAAGAATAGTGAAAGTAACATTAAAATATTACTGTAAAAGTATTTCCACCTGGATCCAAGAAATAAGATCTAGTGTCTTTCCTAGAAAATAGAAACTTGAGCTTTCTCTTAATATTTAAAATCTGATGGACTAACAAACAGGTGTCAAGTTGCAGTAAAACAAGATGAGTAAGATCTAGGAATCTGCTATATAGCATTGTACCATAGTCAACAACTGTGAATTCAGATGTGTGGTAAGGTTGATCTTGGGCTGGGGAGATAGCTCAGTTGGTAAGGTGCTTGCCTTTCAATCACAAGGACCCGAGTTTGATCCCCCGACCCCCCAAAAAAACTGCCCAGTGTGGTGTAGTGGTGTGTACTTGTAATCCCAGCGCTCCAGAGAGAGGTGGGAGGATTCCTGCTGCTCACTGGCCAGCCAGTCTAGTCTAAGTGGTGAGTGCCAGTGAAAGATTCTGTCTCAAAGGAGATGGATAGCATTGTTGAGGATGATACTTAAGTTTATCCTCTGGCCTCTACATGCGTGTGCACCTCATACTAAGTGTTGATACCACAATAAAATAAAATGAATTTTTAAAAGATCAGATGGTTGGTTACCATACTTTCTCCTTTAGACGAGAAGGAAAAAGCACACTTAATGGAGTGGAGATGATGAAGGGTAGAGGAACTCTGGACTCCTGTTACATGTGAATACAACGTGGCAGCCTGATATTTTCAACACATCATGAGTATGTTTGATTTATTTAGGTGGGCAGATCAACGGAAAGTCCTATCGACTTCGTCGTTACAGACACCATTTCAGGCTGTCAGAACAATGAGGAAGCGCAGATCACACAGAGCACCATCTCCAGGTTTGCCTGCAGGATTGTGTGTGACAGGAACGAGCCCTACACAGCACGGATATTTGCAGCCGGATTCGACTCTTCCAAAAACATCTTTCTTGGAGTAAGTACTATGAATAAATTCCTGGTTTCAAAAACCAACACCCATTACTATGATATATAGGCTATTCAATTTGGGGGCACGGGTTATTTTGTGTTATGACTATAGTTTTAGTTTTCAGGAAGACACTGAAACGATAATACTAAAAATCTGAAGATGATGCTCGGCCTGCTCACACATGCCTGTAATCCCAGCACCCAGGAGGTAGAAGCAGAAGGATTGTGGGTTCAAGGCTAGCCTGGGCTACATACAGAAATTCCCATCTGAAAAAAAATGCTGTAGAGCACTGTCCTGTTCCCATAGCAATCATAATGTACACAGTAGTTGATTTTTAAAGTATGAATAGTGGCATTACTTGTTATATATTTAGAGTAAGTTTAAGAGGTTTATTTTGGAGGGAAAAATAACTGGTCAAGTTTAGATCCATAATGAAAAAGGAAAATGTTAGTGATTGTTCTTCAAAAGCATCTCATTGCATGTTCGCTGCCTCCCATGCTGAATGTTGCATCATAGAACAGAAAGCCCTGCCCTCATAGGGTGTCCTAATAACCAAACCCCCAAAGTTTTCATGAATATCCACCTTAAAAATATTTGGGTTGGGTTTTTAAAAATATTTTAATATTTTTTTCATTTTACGTATATGAGTGTATTGCCTGAATGTGTATAAGTGCACCTGTGATGTGCATTGTTCGTGGAGGTCAGAAGAGGGCACTGGATCCCTGGAACTGGAGTGAGGACAGTTGTTAACTGCCATATGGGTGCTGGGAACTGAACCCAGGTCCTCTGCAAGATCAGCCAGTGAGTGCTGTTAACCACTGAGCCATCTCTCCAGTCTCTGCAGTTGCCTTTTGAATAAAGACATTTCTACAGACACAAAAATCTGCTCATTGTGGCCTAAATGACAATAAAAATGTATTGCCCATGTGACAGCAAGCACCAAGGAAGGCCAGCCTCAGCTCTGGCTGACTCCATGGTCCTGTGATGTCCTGAGACCTGGTGCTTCCTGTGCTACCCACTGTTGCTCCTAGAACAGCAGACTCCTGGGGGACAGCAGCTTCCTGAGAGAGAGAGACAGGAGGTGGCAATGCTCTCCTGGCCTGTGTCACTTCTTAGGGCAAAGCCACCTGACAACAGATACATCTCCTCCCCTTCGTCAAACATTAGGAAGGACTGGAACTATCCCGATGGTTTATACTAAGCAGGACTTGCATCCCTCCCCACCCCTGCCATGTGGAGAGTACTTAGACTCTGTCACTAGAAAAGTACAGGGGTTTTGTGGTGCTGCAGCAATCAAGAATGCCTGTCCCATCACTGCCTCCCCTATGAGGTTAGAAATACTGGTTTGTATAGGAACAAAACAAACAACTTGTTGGCTTAATTTTTTTAAATTTTGTACCTTTAGTAAAACGTACTTTTAAAATTATTATTTTTAATCTTCTGTATCCAGGTAATGAGTTGATATAAAACATTTTTAGGTAACATGATAAGAGCAGGGAAGAAGTAGAACTGAAGAAAGGAAGTAAATGGCTTAGATTCCTGAGTTTGCACAGGGGGGAGAGGTCTGAGAGAGGAGCCCAGGTACCAGGGTGTGTCCAAACTCCTGAGGTGACTATAATGTGTGGCCAGTGGTGAATCCTTTGGTATTTTAAACATCTTTCATACTGTCATAATAATTGAATATTTTCTTCTGTGGTTATCAGCTTTAAATAGAAAATGAAATCCCTTTCTTCTCCATTCATTCCTTGTATTTTAAAGAGACTCCAGAGTTCTCCATTTTGAACGTCGGTCTTTCTGGTCTGTGTTGTGTTCTCCAGGAAAAGGCAGCAAAATGGAAAAACCCAGATGGCCACATGGACGGGCTCACCACCAATGGTGTCCTGGTGATGCATCCCCGTGGGGGCTTCACTGAGGAGTCCCAGCCCGGGGTCTGGCGCGAGATCTCTGTCTGTGGCGACGTATATACCTTGCGAGAGACCAGGTCGGCCCAGCAGAGGGGAAAGCTGGTGAGTGCACATCTGCAAACTGTACCAAACTGCCAGGCTCCACAACCGCTGCCCGTTTTCTTGCTGATGAGGCTCAGAACCTCTGTGCAGGGTGGTCTGTGGCATTTCCTGACCCAGGAGCATGGGAACTCCATAAGCTCCTGAAAGCCAGGGGGCCTGACTGTCCTTCCTTGAGCCTAGCCCTTCCCATACGGAAATGTTGTCTTTTGTTCCTTAACCATCTGAAGAGCACTGTCATTTATTATACCCATCACTGCAGAATTCTACTGACGTCCACCTTGTGGAGAATAAATTACTTTTAGTCCAATACTTTATTATTTTAGAAAAACCCTGAGCAGTGTAAGACCAGTGAGTGAAATTTTTATTTATTATTTATTTATTTTTTAATATTTTTTATTATTTTTATTTTATGTGTATGAGTGTATATTGCCTGCATGTATGTGAGCGCACCCGTGTCGTGCAATGCCACGAAGGTCAGAAGCGGGCTTCAGATTCCCCTAGAACTGGAGTTAAGGATGGGTCATAGCCACTATGTGGGTGTTGGGAATCGAACCCGGGTCCTCTGCAAGAATGGTCAGTGCCCTTAACTGCTGAGCCATCTCTCCAGCCCTGAGTGAAAGTTTTTAATTAGCAAATCATCTAGATTTTCTAAAACTAAGAAATAATTAAGTTAACATATCCTCCTTAATTTCATTGTTAGAAATTAGAGATAAAACATTTTACTTGAAATCACTCATATATCACATTGACTTAGCATGCTAATATTTTCCTGTAAGTGCCACAATGAAATGCCATGCTTTAAAACGGTTTTGTATCCCTTTCTATAGGAATTGGTTTTAAGTAGGAGCTTCAGGTTTCTGATCTTGCTGTAGCCTTGTGACACAGCCCAGAAAGGCTCTTCAACTTCCGCATGTAGAAGCTAGAACGGGGACAGATGCCTTTTCTAGATTCTGGAAAAGGAGTTCTTCGAAATGGCTATAGAGAAAACACAGAAGGATGGAGAGTGATCTGCAGACCAGAGATAGAAACAGCAACCACATTCCTGGGATGGAGAAAGAAAACGGCCTGTCTCCCCCATGTACCGCCCTGCATTGGAGGCCTATTAATAAGGAGTTGTTTTTGTTCTGTTTCATGTCACAGTTCAGGTTCAGGCCCAGCTTCTGCCTCTAAGAGCAAAGCCTAGTCTCAGAGTATCACAGCTGAATATGTATAAGAAGCACTTTCTGGGGTCTGGAGAGATGGCTCAGCGGTTAAGGGCACTGACTGCTCTTGCAGAGGATCCGGGTTCGATTCCCAGCACCCACATGGCGGCTATGAACAGTCCTTAATTCCAGTTCCAGGGAAATCCGAAGCCCTCTTCTGACCTCCGCAGCATTGCATGAGACGGGTCCACTCACATACATGCAGGCAATACACTCATACACATGAAGTAAAAATAATAAATAAAATATTAAAAAAGCACTTTCTAAGAAAGGCCAAGCAAACTTAGGAAGTTTTATTTAAACATTTCAAGAAATTATAAATAGGAAGGTAACAGGAAACAGTTTTTTCAGAAGGTGTTCTGTTTTTGATGATCCAGTAGTTACACAGACCGACCTAGCTCGGCTGACGTGGTGATTAATCATTACTACTGTAAAAGTAAGAAGGCAAAGTGGGCATAGACACTGTACTAACAGTTCTCACCAGCCCTTTAGCTCATTCGCTCTGCACTACAGCTCTCTAAAGAAAGCAGATCATCCCCACCTTATCTATGAGGAGAGGTAGCCCAGGAAAGAAAACTATTGTCCTGTGTCTGTTAGGAGGTGTTAGCAGATGAGATTCAGACTTGGGTCTCGGATTTAGAGTCTCAGATGTGGTATCATGCTTGGTGCTCACCTGAGCTGGCTCATACCAGAACATTTGCCTCCCTGGGTGAATGGAAAGCATACATTGAGCCAGGCACTGTGAATTAGAGGCCTATGCCTCTACTTAGAACTTGGAAGGTGGAGGCAAACATATTGTGAGTTCAGGATCATCCTAGGCTATGTAGTGAAACCCTGTCTCAAAAAACCAAGGGCTAGGAAGATAGCTCAGAGCTCTTACCTAGCATGTGCAAGGCCCTGACTTCAATTCCTACACTATCGGAGCACACACACACACATACACACACACACACACACACACACACACACACACACACACGCATACCTTGAGATCCATGGCAAGATTGTCTAGGGACCCCTCACCAGGTGAGTTTCTTGTACTTTCTTGTTGCTGTTTTCCAGCTAGGCAGCACTATGTGTCACAGAATTTTGCCAATGCTGCTCAAAAGAAAACAGCTCCAAAAATGGCTTGTATTGATGGGCCATATTAAGTGTACAGACTTGTGTGAGTATATGCAGAGACCACAGGACAACCTCAGATACTGGTCTACCCTCTGTGAGACAGAGTCTTGCCAAGTAGGCTAGGATGATTGACCAGTGAGCTCCAGAGAACTGCTTGTCTCTGCCTCTGGGATACAAATGCACACCACCACACCTGACTTTTTCACATGGTTTCTGGGAAGTGAACTCAGGTCATTGTGCTTACAAGCCAAGCACTTTATCAACTGAGCCCTTTCACCAGCTCCTGTAAACTAATTTGAAGTTAGTACCTGGAAATAACATGTCAGATCTATGTAAAATTGTGAACATCTTTCTTCCTCAAATCGAACCCAGGACTATTGAGTCTAATTCTTTGTCTCTTGCCACAGATACTCTTTGTTGAGGTGCACCCACCTTTCTTGTCTAGAGAGAGAAGCTACTCCCAAATGTTTCTACACCCCTCCAGTCTTTCCTCTAGACAGCTAGATGTGAAAGGCAAATCAGTTCTCTATGGCTGCCTAGACCTCGCCACTCAGCCTGTCTGGATAAGTGAGGCCAGCCAACCTCCACCCTGGGCCTGTTGCCTGGGTGCAGCATCACCCAGAGCTCTGTAGCCTGTTCAGCTTCCATGCACCATGTTCCCTCCCTCCTATTCCCTCAGTGCTTGGCACTGTCATGGCTCCCTGGTATGCGGGCCTTACAACACTACATCCTGATTCCTGAAGTCTTTTTCAAAACTCTGTTCAAGAAAAGTTTTTTTAAAAACCTCATTTCTGACCTGCCTTCATCAAAGTAACAGTAATAAACATGTACAGTATTTACATGTAAGACCCTATACCAACAACTGCATTCGTATTAACCTATTTAACCTTCACAGTCAGGTTCTCTAAATTTTAAAGAAGGGGAAAGTGTAGGACAGTGTATTCCAGTAACCTGCCCAAGGTCACACAGCCGATAAGGAACTGAGTCAGAAGGCCCCAGAGTCTACACTCTAAGCCACTGTGGTCCTGTGGCCTCCATGGCACTTCATTGACCCTCCCCTGGCTCCAGGCGTGCCTGCCTCCCACTCTTGAAGAGCAGGTCTTTTTTTAGATTTTGCTTCTTCCCTCAGGGTTTAGGCACAAGGAGGCGGTGGTCTGATTCCTGCTTACCAAGCCTGATCCTGCTGGTTAGTCAGCTGTTACTCATCTGTGCGAGCACTTGGTGCGTAGCAGAGACACCCTATGAAAATGAAGGCTTATCACAAAAGCTTCTGCCTCTGACCTTAGGAAAAGGATAAAGAAGATGAAAGTGTATGTGCAGCTCAGGGTCAGCCGCAGTGTATTGGATGCTGTGATTGTGAGGCAGCCCCATCAGGGTCTTCTTTGCTGGCCCTGTCTCATTGAGTCTTCACTGACGGGACAGCCCTTACCTATTGTAAGATCAGTGAGTAACTATGTATTACTGATGTTAAGTTAAAAATAAAAATGCACAACCGAATGTGGTAGTGCATACCTTTAACCCCAGCACTTAGGAGGCAGAGACAAGCAGATCTCCGTGAGATTGAGGCCAACCAGCCTGGCCTACATAGTTCGAGGCCAGCAAAAGGGGGAGACCCTGTCTCAAAAAGACAATAAAGATGTAAGCTCTGTGAGGCTCTTGAAAGTAACTAAACTTACAAAGCTCAGCATATTGTACTAAGAGCACTGAACCTGGACATGTATTACATATAGTGTTCACACAAAACTGAGGCTCAGGGAGGCTAGACTATAGGTCCTATGTCCTGTTCTAGTGGGGTAAGTTACTTGCAATATCTTCTGACTGTGCTTAGTCTGAGGAAAGAATGTTGGGTGCTTTTGCCCCATGATATTCAGGAATTTGCTTTTAAAGGCATGTCTGTCAAACCTGTTGTAGGTAGAAAGTGAGACCAACGTCCTGCAGGATGGCTCCCTCATTGACCTGTGCGGGGCCACTCTTCTCTGGAGAACCGCAGATGGCCTTTTTCACACTCCAACTCAGAAACACATCGAAGCCCTTCGGCAGGAGATCAATGCTGCTCGCCCCCAGTGTCCTGTGGGCCTCAATACTCTGGCCTTCCCCAGCATCAACAGGAAGGAGGTGGTGGAAGAGAAGCAGCCCTGGGCATATCTGAGTTGCGGGCACGTGCACGGCTACCATAACTGGGGCCATCGGAGTGACACAGAGGCCAATGAGAGGGAATGTCCCATGTGCAGGACTGTGGGCCCCTACGTCCCTCTCTGGTTGGGCTGCGAGGCAGGATTTTATGTTGATGCAGGACCACCAACTCATGCTTTCACCCCCTGTGGACATGTGTGCTCAGAGAAGTCTGCAAAGTACTGGTCTCAGATTCCCCTGCCACATGGAACTCACGCATTTCACGCCGCCTGCCCATTCTGTGCCACCCAGCTGGTTGGAGAACAAAACTGCATCAAATTGATTTTCCAAGGTCCAGTGGACTGATGCCCTAGACAGCCATCTACAACATTATTAACAAGTTACTGTGAAGATTTTGCCACTAACTCTAGATTCTCTACCTTTTTGTAATGCTGTTTGTTAAGGGGAGGGTGGCCTGGGCTGGGAAAAGAAGAAGGGACCTGGTGATGAGACAGGGCAAGAGTTAACAGATACCACTTGTCTATTGCATGCTCAGAACAGCGGCATCATCATTGAAGTCTGCTTGATTAAACCTTAATACTTGTGTAATAATTGGATTTCAACTGCCATGCTTTTATTTTTAATCTTGGGTTTTAACCAGATCTTTTTCTTTTGTAAACTTGGACAAGGCTTTACATTCTGTTTTACAAATGTAGAAGAAATTAATTCAACAGGTGGCTCTTAATGCACAGCCTTCGGTACTGTGTGGTATAAGGCATCGCCTGAAAGATGTGCAGTGGCTGGAAATACTTGATAGTGGCCGGTATCAAAGGGGCAGCTCTGCCAGATGTGACTGTGGACAGACTGTAGGCACAGAGGCTTGTTTTGAAATCTCTGGCTTTTTTGTGGTTTATTTTTTACTTTGGGGAGAGGAGAGTCGTTATGTTATTTTTAACTTCAGTGGAGTTTACTTACATGCTCGTTCATCAGAGACTTGGCATTTTAAACAAGGAAATTTCATGACGTTTTAGTCTTTAACTTTGGTTGTCCCTGATCCTCATCTTCCACAGCTAGAGCTACTCGATGGGTTCAAATCTAACAGCTTGTCAATTCATGAATTGAGGGTAGCTGTTACAGCAGCAGGCACATCGTAGATACTGTGATACCAATTTTATCTGCATATTGAATTTAAGACCTAAGAGTGATTTAAAATATGCTTTTACTGTTTTAGAACCACTTGTCGGGGCTTCATGAGGTTCTTCTTCCTCCCCCTCCCCCTCCCACCTCCTCCTCTCTCCCTCCTTTAGGAAAGCCAAAATTATCTGTGCACAAAATCACAATGAAATAGCCGTTTTTGTTCTCTCACTTTGCACCATGTCACCTTCCCTCGTAGACTAAAGAACCCCGTAAGTTTTGAAGATGTTTGCAAATCAAACTAAATTTAAATGCGATCATTAGATATACACACACCAAGTGGTACATTTGCAGAGATCATTTGAAATTCCAGGTTTTGAGAGAACAATGAGGTTTTACTAAGGAATAATTAAATCAGAATTTCATATGAGTTATACCATCCCTCTCTGTTAGTTTCATTTGGTTCTGATTAACAATTCCTGGATGCTCGTTCTCAGTGCTTGGTACCAGGGGTGTTGTGGCTCCCAGAGTGTAGAGCAGCTGGCAGTCTACGCTAGTCCATCCCTTCACATGGAACAAGTATCTGGTTAAATGAACATCTGCCTAAATGAACCATCGCAGATTTGAGCTGCCTGTTTTAACCTTTGTAAATATATGTAATTTGTGATTCTAATATACTATATCCATACTTGAATTGTTTTAAGTAAATCTAACCTGTTTGAATACTTTTTCCTTAAAAACAATAAGATATATTACTCTTGATGCTGCTGCTTAATTGACTTAATAGCCTAAATTTAGCCTGTCAGTTTTAAATTAGCTTTATTTTTCAATGGAGGCCATTGTGTAGGATGAGGTATTTTTGTTTTATTTTGGTAATATTTATGATGTAAAAATCTAGCAACAGTCTTCTTACTGATAACTTCCTCTTCTGTGTAGATTACCTACAGAGGGAGGGAGGGAGGGAGGGAGGGAGGCAGGAAGGAAGGAAGGAAGGAAGGAAGGAAGGAAGGGAAGGAGGGAAGGAAGGGAAGGAAGGAAGGAAGGAATTTAGCTAGAATAAATATATTGGATGTCATCTGATGTAGCCACAGTTCGGGTACCAGCTTTCACAGATAGAATAAGTCTTCTTTAGGCTTCATAGAAGGATAAAGAAAGTGCTTGTTCCCTCTTACATGTAGATGGATGGTTTGAGGAATCTTGATATCTAGGGTTGCCTTATATGGTAAAAGCTTTTACCTTAGACCTGGAAAGGTTGGACTTCACCTATCAAAAAAAAAGCTTATTTTTTTGTAGGAAGTTCTGCTTTGATATCAGGATTTTCCATATGAAAGATTATACAGAAGTCTGATATTTCTACATGTGACATATGACCCCAAATAAGGTGAACTTCTTCCAACCTTCAAAGTTCCTGACTTGTAATAAACTCAGCTTAAGTGCAAGTTGAAGCTCAGGCAATAAACTGGAGGCTCTTCAAAGGACAGTAGCACCACCCTGTATCTTTTCCTTTGGTTTCCAGGTAAGGTTCCCCTTCCATCCTGCCTGAGGCATGGCAAAAGTGTCACATTTGCAAAGGAAGCCATGCTGACCTGGGTGACTTCTAATAAGATTATTTTCTATTTTTTTTTTTTTTTTTTTTTTTTTTCAGGTCTGAAAGTGAGTTAGTTTATGAGTATAAAGAACTAGCTCATCTGATATAGTTGAGAAAAGGAAACTTCTCCAAGGTCACTTCAGTTTTTATGTTTTGTTTGCCATCACATTAAAGGACATATTCCAACCCCCCCCCCCATGTATATATAAGAAAATCACTAACCGCTTGTCCTGATCTCAGCCTGACCAATTGCCTTTTTTCAAGTAGGTTTCCAGAAGTAAAGCCCTAGTGATGTACTTCCGTAGATGATACTTTTTTTCGGTTATGTCAGTTTACTACAAAAAAATAATAAAATTCAGAGTGAATGGGATACAGCTCTGAGTATTTTTCTAGTGGAATTTTTCTTGATAATCGGTGCTGCTGGGTCATGCATGCTGCAACTCTCAACGTTTCCCTTATGTAGTTCAGCTTTTTGCAAAAAGGGCTACAGTTCACACTGCAGAGTAAGTATTCAGCTTTCTGGGTCGTCCCCCCTCACACGCACACACACACACACACACGTCTGTGGCCCAAAAGAATTAAAACCTTTTAATATAAATAGCTTATTTTTCATTCCTCAATAGTTAATTATAGGGTTTGGTACCTTTGTGCCTCAGGGAAGCCACGTGATGTAACTGGTTATAGACTTTCAGGGTTAGGGTTTAGAGAAAGGAGAAAGCCATTGGAATATATGATGGGCTCCATTAAGGAGACTAATGAACCTGGATGCAGAAATATGCCAGGACTGGCATAAACGTGATTGTAGAAGAATTTGTTTTTCAGTACCAGAAGGGAAATCATTTTAAGTTATTGCATATACTGTATTAGGAAAGTTGATAACTCTTCTTCATAAAGCACCAATGCCTTTTATTTTTCCTTACCAACCTCTGTTATTTAGGGACTCAGTGTTGTTATTTGGGCACTTTGGGGTGTTTAAGGAATGAGTTTTCTACTTAATGTAAGTGTACTACAGTTCTGTAATTTCACTCAACTTCTTTTCTTTTATAAAGCTGTTCTTTGGATGTGCTCAAGAGGTAGATGATCATGCCACTGTCTGTGCTGGGCACAAACTTGCTGTCCTCATTCAGTCTTGCCTCATAATAATGACAGGCCGTGGAACCTTGATTTCATGCCAGCTACGGTTCTGTTCCTTGGCCACTGATTTCCTGACCCCATAGTTTAGCCTTTTGGGAGTGAGGGTCTAAAGGTCCTCCTTAGTAGTGAGCTTAATGGCCTAGGGCCAGTGAGATAACTTCAGGACCTTGTTAAAAGAAACTAAGCATTACCGAAGCAGTAAAAAACAAAAGAAAATCGTCTCTGCTTTTTAGTAAATATATCCTCTTAAGTAAATGTCTGCTCTCATGAAAGCTTCCTAGAGAACAACTGGGAAAAGCAAATATTTTTCCAATTCTGATTAACTGTTTCTAAACATGTGTACAAACAAAGCTAAACCTGATGAAAGGGAACTTGTTCTTCTTTTTTGGCTGAGACCACAGATTGCTTCTCTGTAATACATAATCTAGAAGTTAGAGGGCTGATCGTATTTACCATGTATGGTGTTATAAAGCAGTTAAATTTTATGGCTATATTTGTAAAATTGTTCTTTTATATTTCATGTCAAATTGAAAAGTTTATTTCTTCACTATTGTACCTGTGGAAATACAAGCCATTTTACAGGAAAAAAGTCTTCAGAGCTATTAAATGGATCTCACCACATTTGTGAGTCGTCTTCAGACTTCATTGTTGGGCGCTGGGTTCATCAGCACATTCAGTAGGATGTAGATACAAAAGTAGACTTGATTTTCACATTTCTCAAACTCCCAGGTGAACCCCAGACAGATGGGTTGATGAATTTATTGTTGTTTTATACTCTGCACAGTACATACTTAACCCTGAGTTCTGAAAATCCCCTAAATTTTTTATTAAACTCTGTTGGTGCTTTTATTACTATTTCTTGTGACATTTTATCACTGTCAAATAAATCTAACTTCTAGGAGAATTTAACCTGGCTTGTAGAATTGATGGATTTTCTTCATGATCCTTATACTTGTGTTAATACTTTTGTGATAATCTCAGTTCATTTTTAACAGCATAAGGACTGTTTATAAGCCTTTAAGCCTTAAACTAACACCTGTCACAAGAAAATATTTGCATTTGTGAGGTTTTTTCTATTAAGGATGATATTCAAGGGTTATTACCATTGTTGAGGGAAGTAGATGATTCATTCCCTCCTCCCCCTGAAAAAGGTCGTGCAAACATAAGCTTTTATATAGGAGGCAAGTGTTCTATACTTTATTTACGATGTCATGAATTGTAAAATGTGTTACAATAGGAAAACACAGTAACACTTGTAAGATAATCCTGCTCAGCAAGTGTGCTGAAAAACAAATTGAGTGTGGAAAAAAATAGTGTGTTCCACAGTGGATCAGAGACAACTGAATACATGCAAAGAAATGAAATTAAGACACCTCACACATTATATAACAAATAACTCAATAGATCAGAGAGCTGCAACTATAGAGCTTTTAGAAGAAAGCATAAATTTTAATGACCTTAAATTCTTCAGTGATTTCTTAAATACCGCACCCCAAAAACCACAATGAAAGAATACTAAATAAATTGGACTTCATCAGAATTTAAAACTTTTGTGCATGTAATGATACTATTGAAAGTAAAAAAAAAAAAAAAAAAAAAAAAAAAAACAGCCACAAAATAGGAGACCACACTTGGTGATCATAAATCTCACAAGGAAATTGTGTCCAGGTGTGGTCCAGGGTGCACGCCTTTAGTCCCAGCACTTGGGAGGCAGAGAGGTAGGCGGCGCTCTGTGAGTTCAAGGCCAGCCTGGTCTACATAGTGAGTTCCAGGCCAGCTGGGAATACAGGGAGACTCTGTCTCAAAAAATAAAAGAAAACTTGGTAAAAAATACAACCCTACTAGAATGGTCAAAGTTTTTTTTTTTTTTTCCCCAGAGAAGATAGATGAATGTCCAATAAGCATATAGAAACCTGCTCAGCATTACTAGCCATCAGGGATGCAAATTAAAACCACACAGTCCTACTTTATATCTAGTAGCTTAACTGAAGTCAGAAGGACCACCACAAAATGTGCAAAAGGAGGTTGGAACGTGGAAATCCTTTTACACTGTGGGGTAGTAAAATGATACCTTTGCCTTAGACACGTGGTTTGGCAATTCCTCAGAATGTAAAATGTGTAGCTACCGTGTGACTTAGCAGTCTGCTCCTAGATACATGCACGAAGAATTGAAGCACAAAAACCTGAATGTTTATTTTTTAATTTTTTCGTTTTTAAAATTAGCTTACAAAGTAATGAGTTTCCACATGCAGTTTCCACCCTCCCCACTCATCTCTCTGACCGCTTCCCCGCCGTGCCCTTCACCCCCAGTAGTCCCCCTTCCCCTTTGCTCTTGTCTCTCCCACTCCCCTTCCGTAGAACCTCCTTTTTCCCAGCCTCATGAACCCCTCTTTGGTTTCTACATTCATCTTTATTTTTCCCACTCGATGGGCATATTTAGCAGAAGCTAGGATTTGCATATGTGCGCGAGGATGCAGTATTTGTCTGTCTGAACCTGGCCTACCTCACATACGTTTTCCACTTTCATCTATGTTCCTGCAAATTTCATTCTTTACGGCTGAATAAAATTCTATTTTATACATGTGCCACATTTTCACTCTCCATCCATCTGTTCTTGGACTCAGGCTGATTCCATTTCCTTGGTTTTGGGCAAAGAACCATGATAAACATGGATGCGCAAATGATACTGCAGCGTTATTCTTAGTGATGAAAGTGTGAAAGCAACCCAAGTGTCCATCACTGAGAAATGGACAAACAAAGTGTATGTAAATGCAGTGAAATTTGGGCTGTAAAAACAAACCAAGTGCTGATACTGATACAGACCTCAACACATAGATGAACCTTGAAGATGTATATACTATGTGAAAGAAACCAGACACAGAAGTCCACATCGGTGTCAGGAATAGGAAAATTCTCAAAGACGGATAACTGGCCGTCAGGGGTTAAGGAAGAGAAATTGAGAATGATTAGAATAAGGTCTATTTTGGAGGGTGATGAAATGTTCTAAACTTAGCAGTGGTGGTTGGTCAACTGTGAATATACTAAAAACCTCTGAATTTTACACTTGAACAGGTAACTTATGGGTTTTATCTCAGTAAATCTTATTTTTCAAAAAGATACATCCTAGGGCTGATGAGATGGCTCAACAGATAAAGACATTTGTCATCCACCCTGACAACCTGAGTTGGATCCCAGGGCCCCACATGGTAGGAGAGAATGACTCCTGAAAGCTGTCCCCTGACCA